TTTTCAAAGAAAAGCTTCCGCTTTGTAAACGGAGTCTCCTACGATTCTGCCTCTTTCTTCTCCTTTTTGCAACTTTCGATATCTAAAGCAATCCATAGCGATAGTGCTTTTGAATGTTACATACAGTTCCGATTCTCTTCAAACCTGGCTATCATGCGTTCTTCCAGGCCAACGTGCTGAAAACCATAAAAAGCGGTGATTATCATTCACGATTGCCGCTGATTAATGCTGGCAAAACCCTTTCTAAATAAGGAATATCATTCCTACTATTAATAGGTAACAGGATCACCTGTTGACATAAGAACATGAATCTATGCTAAGTTTCGGAATGCCGACGTGATTACCGTCTATGGCACCCACGATACCCGGCAATCCTGTCTCCATCAAAACACGATTTCCCATCGCCAAAGAAATGATCGCTAGCTGTTGCGCGGTCGTCAGCGGGCATGCCCTGCAAACAGATCTCTCTCAGAGGAAAAATTAGACGTTTTATCCACCTTCTGGTGTTTCTGGAGAGACTAGCTTTCATTTTTTCAACGACTGAGAAGAAACCCGCTCGCATGAAGCGATATCTTCTTCTGAATTGCTTGTCGTCAACGTCGAAGGTTCATGCCCGATCGCGGTAAACACAGGAATGAATTCAAAATTTCCACCAACTCTCTTCAATAGATTCACTCATAGTAAGATCCATAATTTTCTAGAATATACCTTGTCATCTTTCGAGTCACGTCGAGGGTCTTTACATATGTTTATGCACAACTCACCGCAGTGTTTGTTTCTGTTACGTACGGATTTACAGGACACAGAGCAGACAGTATATGAAAATCATTATAAGTGATGCTTCTATGAATAAAATTAATCACTGGTTATTTCATGTCCATTTCTGTAAAAGTTTCGTTTTCGCAAGGTTTCGCATGGTAGGGGCTTTTTTGTAAGACTTTCATGAAATTGTAATTCTGCAGATCAGATACAACATGCAAAGTTCTGGCGAAATATAAGATTTTGATCTTCAATCATTGGCGACTGTCTCCGACCAGCTTTGCGTACATCTCTCGTTCAACTCTGTGACATCGCCAAATCTCAAATTTTCTTAGAAATTCATTTTTTCCTTACTGAGCTGAATGAGTAAACCTCTATCAACAATTTGTGCACACTTTGGGATCGTTGTGATCTAGGTTGGGAACGACTTTATTTTTACGTAAGTCCATGAGTTCTCAAATTCCACCGTTTCTCGAAAAACCTTTGATTTTTTATATTTTGTAACCAAAAAGCGAGCACTTTGTGCCAGTCGGTAGCT